TAGCGTCCTCTGCGGATCTATTAGTTCTATATGCAAACTGATGTTCATCAAATGTATACAGAAGGCAGGAAATGATGTGCCTGCAGACCAATTTTTCAAGGCACTTCATGATGATAGGCGTGAGTGCCACTGGTCTGTAGTCGCTGCGGTTGTTAATAGGGAACTTCTTTGGCAGTGGAACGATGATGGAAGCCTTCAGACAGGATGGAATAGTGGACTGGGATAAAGACCGATGAAAGATCTTGGTGAAAACCCCAGCCAACTGATCAGCAGAGTCTTTAAGCACCCAGACAGAGATGCCATTGGGTCCAGCAGCCTTTCTAGGGTCCACAGCCCTCAAAATACTCCTCACCTCGTGCTCCTCCACAGTGAGGTGGGGCTACAGTGGACTAATGGCTGTACTCTAGCTGCCTCTGGTGGCTCCATTTCAAAGCGGGCAAAAAAATGATTCAGCTCCTCTACCAATGAAGCATCCCCGTCAGCAGATATGACATTAATCGGTTTATAGTTGGTAATTTGTTGAATCCCCTGCCACACCTGCCTCGTGTTGTTGCTGTGAAAATGTATGCATGTTTTAACCCGGTTTTACGAAGGTTGGGGCGTACACCACTCCAAACTGGCTTCTTTGGAGCAACGTATAAGCCTAGTCGATAAATAAATGCAGACACACTGACCAACTGCACAGAGGTGGTCACCAGGAGCTGAGCTCTGATCAGCGAAGTCAGTCACCTTGAGTTATGCTTTGTCCCGAGTGCCTTTAAGCACACATCCCGAGTTTCTTGCAACAGCGTGGAAGTGATTTGATACTGCCTTCGGCTGGATGATGACGATGACAACTTCCCAGCCTAGCCTCCAGACTAGGAATCTCCTGGTGGCCTTCCACCCCAGTATCAAGGAGGGGTGTCCCCTTAGCTTCACACGGTCATCCAAGGTCAGCCCCTTAGACAGGCTTGTCCATGAAACGGGAGGTGGCCGAAAGCAAACAAATCCTCAACAGAAAATGAGCTTGCCGGCACTTGCCGTTATCTTCACGGCCAACATTTTAACTCCTCCCTTGGAGGCCACCCGACTGCTTCCAGGAAGATATTCAAGCATGCCACATCCCTGGTTCATTACAATAAACTCCCCAGACAATCAGCCAAGACCCTGCCCGTCCCCCCCACCCCCCCCAGGCTCAGCACTCCCTCCCCGGCCCGTTAATTGCTTCGCCTTCTCTTTTCACAGCTTGCCAAAGGTGGCGAATTGCAGCCGTGAGGCTCAGCCAGGGCGCCCCCTCTTCAATTCTCCAGTCACGGATGGGGTTGTACGGCATAGTTCGAGCTGCTCGGCTCTCCTCCTGGGGGGGGCGTTGGGGCCGCATGTGTAGGAAACATCCCTTGTACCTGGCACTGACAGGTTTCTCTCCCCTCGGGAACACTGACATAACAGCCGCAAAGTGCCATTTTGAGACCCCAAGGCTTACAGTCTCCAGAGTCCTCAGGATGTGGGGGGAACACTGTCCCCTCTGGGTTATGTATTTTGTTCAGGGCTGTCTGCAAAGCGTGGTCCCGAAAGTCCAGATGGCCATGGAAGAACAGTAGAGTCGCAGCTCAACAACATCTGGAAAAGAAGGGCTTGGGGCTTCCTGCTGAGGAAGAAAGGGGCTCCTGCTTAAAAAACATTGATGAGCTGCTACGAAGGTTACTGTCCTTTTAATTAAAAGGAGTTTGGTAGCATCTTTTTCAACTCACACCTTTTATTAAAAAGCATAAAAGCAAGCTACAGCTTGTGAAAGCTTCTGCCTTTTAATAAAGGGTGTGAGTCACAAAAGGCGAAATCCAACTCCTTCTGATTTGGGGCTACCCCAGGCCCGCATAGCTCTCCAGCTACAATGTCCCTTCAATGTCTTTTAAAATTCAAGGGCCCAATTCCCAGAATTCCGCGAGGCTTGTGACCCAATCCTGCTGGCTGACTTCTCCAGAGATCATCACGGACCTCCTGGAGGTATCAACCTGGATCTCGTGAATCTTCTTCACGACACCCAGAAGACTCCACCTTTGGTGAAGCTGATCCTTCATAGAGGAAATGAAACAGATTTTTCGTCTTTACGCAGGGTTTAAAAACTGGAGCTAGGAGAGCCTGGTTGCAAAATGATCAGATGACCACTAGATAGCAGCAAACAGATGGCCGCTATCTAGTGACCATCTGGATTTTTGCAGCCCAGATCCGGCCCTCATATCCGACAATGCCATCATCACCAGCACCATCATATGGAGAAGGCAGAAATGAAACCAAAACCATGGCGGAGTTTGCCTTACATCGTTAACCAGATAATAAAGATCTCGTAGCTGCACCAGGACAATAAGTTGCTTGCTTAGTTTTAACCTAGGTTTGTTGTGTCCCTGCAATTACTGAATGGTGGCTAAACCTAGGCTTAAGGTGGCAAGCCTCTGGAATTAAACCGCCACATGGGCTTCCTGAATGATTTGAGCAGCGTCCCAACCCTTGCAACATCCTCCTTCTCCAGTCTGGAAATCCCCAAGTTGCCGGCCACGGAGGAGGAAAATGGCCCCAGAGGAAAGAGTTTGGCGCCACCTGCCGGGCGCGTAAAGTCTTGCCGTTTTCTACTCGCTGCCCGGCTCCCCTCCAGAGAGAAACGTCCAGCAACCGCTGCAAAGGCCCAAACAGTTCTAGGTCTCAAATCCATTCCAACATCTCGCGGGGTTCTTCAACGCATGGCCCTGATTTTGTTCATAACTTTGCAATTCCCTTACTATCTTCGGAGACGTATGGATTGATTGCGTCGACTCCTAGCAACCATGTAGATAGGTCTTCTCCATGATGACCTGACCCTTCAATTCTTCTAACAATGCCCTCATCACCACTGTAACTGACTCCATCCCCCTGGGTGCTGGTCGTCCTCTCCTCCTCTTTCCTTCCACCTCTTCCAGCACCGGAGCCTCCTCCGGAGAGCTGGATCTTCGCATCAGGGGTCCGGAGGAGGATAACTTGAGCCTGGTCGTTGGGGCCTCGAGGGAGAACTCTGGGCAGACGGACGGACTCGTTCGATGGCCACTTGGCCTGTTTTCCCGGCTGTCCAGCGTCTCCCCCAACAGCAAGTCCAGCGGCGCCAGAGCGCTTCCTCCGCTGCTGCTTCAGGGTCCGACGTCCTCTTCCGCGGAGGTCGTGCGGGGCCGATCCTCGCAGCGCGTCTCCAGGCTACGCGGGGGGAGTCCCGCTGTCCGGTTCCCGCGCCGAACCCGCAACTACCCGGGCGAGATGCGGGGGGTCCCCGCGGCACGCGCCCCGCCCCCCCGCCAG